TGTATGTCTGTACGTATTTGTATTATCTTAGTGTGCAATATTTGGGATCCCTAAATATTTTGGGTAGTCACATAGATAGACATGCATGATTGCAACTCACTATTGTCACTTGTCATAATATGTTTGCTAATTAATTGAATTCGCACATAGAAATCCCACAATGAATGTGTGGAAGCTAAGCAATATATACCACCACGGCACCACCCAACCCGGCCAACGAATTACCCTTAATCATAGTGTAGACTAGGGGTGTTCAAAAATATCCGATCCGAAAAATCCGTCCATGATCCGGGCATATCCGATCCGAAAAACGGATATCCGATCCGATATTTTGGCTTTCGGATATTTCGGATCGGATATCCGAAAAAAACCGGATCGGATATGGATTCAATTTCTAGAATTTTTCGGATAATCGGATATCCGATTTTTTTTTTCTTATATGTTTAATGGAATTTTATGAATATATATTATGGGTATGTGTTTAATGCAATTTTATGTTGATTTCGGAACTAAAGCATTTTGGGCTTTTTGCATTAACATTTTAAAACTTTTTGTTTTAATAGTAATTTTTTTGTTTGTTTAGGCAAAATTACCAAAGTTACTCCCAAATTAAATTTGGTATCAATTTTTTATTAGGCCATTATCTTGTTGTGAAATTTTTCTTTTAGTAAATCTATATTGAATTTGATATTGTGGGTTGATTTTGCTATTTTACCTTTTTTTTGTAAATTTTGGCTAAAAAATCAATTTTTCGGATAATCCAGTGACCCGATCCGAAAATTCGGATATCCGAATATTTTCGGATCGGATATGGAATGAGTTTTGCATGATCCGAAATTTTTGGATATCCGAATTTTCGGATCGGATCAGATCGATCCGATTGAACAGCCCTAGTGTAGACCATTATATTTCACTTGCTTAATGGTGTCCTGGTTTATTTTTTCTTGCCTCCACGTTAACCAAGTGTTCACAAATAATGTGACATGACTGCCACGAGCTCGCATAACATGTGTTTGTGTTCGAGTGATGTAGCTTAAATGAATGAGAGTTAGTCTTAAAGGGGTACACTTAGATTATAGTTCCACTTCTAAATTCTAATAATGGTCATGCTCTACATGATTATTTTGCACATATGCCTCACTTTCTATTTATTATACTTAGATTATAACTTCATTTACCTTCTCTCAATCTACTTTAATAGTCACCCAGTAGTACTAAGAAATCCTAAAGTTAGGGTTCTATCTTTTTTTTAGCACGAGGCGCAGAGGCCACATATCTTAATTGGTTAACAGGGGATGCAAAAGAAAGTGATATCCGGAGTTTTATTTCTAACGACGACTATGAAGTATGAACCATGTGTACCTCCATTTAATTTACTATCTAAGCCGGTTTTGGAAGAGTGCTAAGAGTATGTTTTTCCATATTTTATTTAACAAATAGTTTTAATTTACATATTTAAAATTGTGAATATTCTATACTCCAAGTATATAACTTTAAATACTGGATTGTTTTAATTATTTGAAATTAAATCTGAATACTGGATTATTCTAAGCAACAATGTTGTGACTCGAATACAAAACAACCAACTAAAATGGCTAAAAATTTGACCGAACCCAAGACATGCCTTACCAGAAATAATATTACTACTCTCTTCATCCCATATTTTTCTACACTTTCTTTTTTTTAGATGTCCCAAAACTTTCTTACGTTTACTTTATTTATTACTTTGGTAATAATCCTGTGGTTACCAACCATTCTAACCTCCTTCCATCCAAAAAAGATTAGCACAGTTTGACTTTTTTTGTCAAACTATGTCACTCTTTGACCACGAATTAAATATAGTTTAAAATAATTAAATATCATGAAAATTTGATATTTCAAAATAATGTTTTAAAAAACCTAATTTTACTAAATTTTCATTATAATTAAATATATTTCAATAATTTGTGGTGAAAGTGTTGCTTACTTTGACCGAAAAAGTTAAATCGTTATAGTTTTTTTAAGATGGGGAAGTATCATTTAAACAAATTCTAACCACATACCTATGGTAAATTTCATCAATGGTACCTGAACTTTAGCTGGAATTTCGAAGTGGTACCTGAACTTCAAATCCTTTCAAATAAATCCCTGAACTTACACAATCCTTTCACTAATGAACCATTAGCCCGTTTCTAGGTTAACTTCCGGTCATTTGGGCCAAATTTGAATTTTATATATTTTAAAATTTTCAATTTGACCCCATTTCTTCTTTTCTTTTCTTCCAAGCCCCGCCGCCGCCGCCCGGCGGTCAAAGTCGCCGGAAAATGAACTTTGTCCGATTCCGGTGGGACCAATGTCATTCTCTTTGTCTTGAGACGAGGATCAATAATATCCAAACCATTTTGTCTAATTTGGCCTGTAACTTCTCGAATCTGAATTTTTCTACTCGAAAAAACCCTAAAATTCGAAATTGGATCCAAAATTGGGGGTTTTGCAAATCGTCATCAAATCTTGCAATTGAGGAGTCCTTGAAGGTCGCCCTGATTCCACGACCACATTGGAGTGGAAGCCCGCCGTCAATTTCGCCGGATTTAGCCGGAAAACACTCCGACCCGCCGGCGGTTTCCGGCGGGTCAAAGCGTTTTCCGGCCAACTTCGGCGAAATTGACGGCGGGAATCCACTCCAATGTGGTCGTGGCATCAAGGCAACCTCCAAGGACCCCTCAATTGCAAGATTTGATGACGATTTGCAAAACCCCCAATTTTGGACCCAATTTCGAATTTTAGGGTTTTTTCGAGTAGAAAAATTCAGATTCGAGAAGTTACAGGCCAAATTAGACAAAATGATTTGGATATTATTGATCCTCGTCTCAAGACGAAGAGAATGACATTGGTCCCGGCAGAATCGGACAAAGTTCATTTTCCGGCGACTTTGACCGCCGGGCGGCGGCGGCGGGCCGTGGAAGAAAAGAAAAGAAGAAATGGGGTCAAATTGAAAATTTTAAAATATATAAAATTCGAATTTGGCCCAAATGACCGGAAGTTAACCTAGAAACGGGCTAATGGTTCATTATTGAAAGGATTGTGTAAGTCTAGGGATTTATTTGAAAGGATTTGAAGTTCAGGTACCACTTCGAAATTTCAGCTAAAGTTCAGGTACCATTGGTGAAATTTACCCCACATACCTATCAAGAATTCAAAGTATATATCAAGAATTTTATAGAATGTATAGTAGAGAGTATGTTTTCCATTCTTACTCCATTTTATTGTACACGAGTACATTTTCACTTACTATCTATACTTTTTTTACTATATCATCTCTCTCATCTACATGACTACATCAGCATCACATCATATTATACTAATTTTATACTCCATCCGTTTTTAAAAATCCTTCTTCTTTCATTTTTTTGTTTTTTTTAAAACACGTCCCTTTTCTATTAAAAAACCACTTTTACCCATACTTTTTCATACCCTACCTATCACATCATACTTTTTCACAAACAACTAAATTATCACATCTTACTTTTACCCATCACATCAAGGACAAAATTTGAAAGTCAACTACAATTTAACACTTCCTTATTTTTCCCCAAAGTCAAAAGAGGAACCGTTTTGAGAAACAGAGGGAGTACATGTTTACGACTAGTGGGGTGTACACACACCAATTTACCAATTTACTACAACAATCTTTTAAAATAATTAAATTAAACCAATATCATAATTTAATTTTAAAATATTTTTTTAAAAACACAAACTCAAACCAATAATATAAAATAAATATAAAATGTTATTGAATAATACTCCGTACATCTTATAAATGAATAGTTTGGCTTTGACTCTCCATGGTGTAGAGTAAAATAAAATTGTATAATTGAAAACGATGTAAGCTAGTAATTACCTATAGCAAAAAATATAGTTAAATCAAATTTAATTTTTAAATGATTAATTTGAAAATACAAAAAAAATAGCACAAACACAAAAAAACATATAAATGACAATATTAGTGTCACATAAGTATGTCAATTTGTCAACTTACTGTAACTATTTTTTAACAAAAATATTAAACTAATAGTTTTGATTCATTTAATTTAAAATCTTGTCTGTGTAGAATATTATGGGAGTTAAAAAAATTTAACTTTTTTTTTTAGATTTTAAAAACTGATTATTTGGGGAATTTGGCTTTAAAAATGGGTTTGAAAAATATTCGATATGTTTGTACATGTATCTTGTAGATATTAATTTAAAAAAATATTGTCATAAATTTTTATTAACAATTAAAATTCAAGATGTATATATAAGAAAATAAATAGAGATGCGGTATGATCAGTAAATGCATAGACTTAGGACGTGTTCTCCCTAAATTGTTTTTTTACTTATTACTTATTCTTATTAGAATCAGATCAGATCAAACTAGATCATATTAAAAATAATTTTAAATATAACTACATTCAAATCAAATTATGAATTATTCCAATCAAATCAGGTGAAGGGAACATGGCTTTACTTGCCAACTTTTTTTTGGTACCAACAAGGAGGGATTAGTGTTACCTTCCATACCAAAATACCACATAGGCTAAATTTGGTACCAAACTGTCCTTAATGGTCTTTAACAAAAATGAGTATAATTGCAAAAATAAAATATTATACCCGACTAATGGCTTATGTAGTTCAGACTTCAGACGTTCAGTGGCATCATTTTAACAAAAAAAAAAGATAATACTAAAGACATGATGTTTGATCGTCACAGCTAAAACTTCTCTAAATATAAGGTCACAAGTTAACGGTATTAACGGTATTAAGTCGAGAATGTATGATAATAATACTGAGTATTAATTAAACATGGCGTTTCTTTTGACTCGAGATTATTTGACCTTAAAACATGTCCTAAGTTGACACAAGTTAAGTAATGGTCTAATGGATATTGTAATCTCAAGCTATTACAATAAATTTAACGCCGAAGGCATTAAACTAGTAATAAACGTGCATGGTGTCTGGGAAATATAATGAAGCATGGAAGTCATCAACAAACTTTTTCATTGTAAAACACACAACTTTAATTTTACAGGCTAAGACTGCTTGGGTCAGCAGCATCTTGACCCCAAACATTAACAGAATTGAGGGCATGTTTGGGAATAACGTTAGAGATTAGCGTTAGCGTTTTGAAAAAAAATTTTAACGTTGCAGACTGCTTTTAAAACGCTAACGCCAAACGTTGCCCGTAGATAGCTTTTTCAAAATGCTAACGCTAATCTCTAACACTATTCCCAAACAAGCCCGGAGACTATACTGAGTTTTGTTTCTTTCCTGCAAACACATGAAGTAATCTGTTGTATGTACATATTATAGAAGAGTGTGAGACTACTATATACATACTTCAGTCATCTTTGGAAGCAGCCTCTGAAAGCTTAAAAGCGGGAGGTCTGTCGACGCCTCTTCGAGAGTACTCTCTCCATCTCCGTGCAGCTGCAGCAGCTCGGCGTGCTCGTTCTCTTGCTTCCTCCTCTGTAACAAATTATTAGTACTTTCTTATACTACCTTTGTCTTGGGGACTCAGAGTATTCGCCTAGTTTGACTTTTACGAGTCAAACTACACAAACTTTGATTGTCAATTAAATAAAAATTGTATTAGATATTAATACAAAAAATGATTTCATTATACGGAGTATTTGGGTAAAAAGAAAAATGCACCCTCAAAAAGTAGGGAAATTAAAGTAAAATGCACCCTCACTTCTCCTAAATATCATAATCCACACTCAAAATTTTTATTTCCTTACACTTTACATTCAACCATCGATCAATGTCAAAAGCTTAGGGGTATTACCGTCACTCTAATTTAAGTCTACATCGCACCGCATTTCAGCGCTTATCACGCCTCGGTGGCAGCCACTTTCACACTTCCAGAAGCGAAGAAGAACGAATCCTCAAGGATGAAGCTAATGGAGAATCAATGATGTGATTCTCAGGAAAATGAACGGAGTTGAGAGGAAGATAATGATGAAGATTGTGTTGTAGTATTATTATGAAAAAAATCTGCAGATTACAAAGTGTTTGGGGCTACTTATAAGACCACTGTGTACATTTTTAACTCCAACTAGCTCCTTAATAACCTCTAACAAGAAGTACACGTGTCTAACCTGTATCATTCCTTCCCTCTTCAAAGAGAAACTTATTTCCTCAAACAAGCATACAACATGCAATACTAAGTATTGAAAATTTTAGGAAAGTTTGGCTACAATGAAAGAAAAATGGAAATAATAACACTCCAACTTTTGGGCTCATGGACTCCCAAATCCGGTCCTCTAATGGGAAGGAGATTTGCACTGGAAATCGTCGACACTGGGGGATGGCGGCGGCGGTGGCAAGAAGGGACTCAGATCTGATTGGGGATTTGCAACGGAAAGAAGAAATTCCGATCTAGCAAGTAGCAATGCAGAAATTGAGGTTAAGGATAGGGACCTAGGGCTCTTATTGAAGACGATGAAGGAGTTGCTGGAAATTTTTAGGAAGAAGATAGTAAGGGGAGGGGGTAGATGCAGAGGGCGAGCTGATTTTCCGTTTGACTCACCCTCATTTTCCTTTGACTTTGTTTCCAAACGGACCCTTATATTAATGTGAAAATAAGGTGTTTGGTTAATTGGAGAAGAATGAAATGTGTGCTGGCGACGGAGAAAGGGAATGATACCTCCTAGGATTAATTAGATTAAAGTGACGGTAATACCCCTGGGTTTGTTAATTATTTTTTACGGTGCTCGATGGTTGAATGTAAAGTGGAAAGAACTAAAACTTTTGAGGGTTGATTATGATATTTGGGAGAAGTGAGGGTGCATTGTACCTTTCTTCTACTTTTTTAGGGTGGATTATGATATTTGGGAGAAGTGAGGGTGCATTGTACCTTTTTTATACTTTTTGAGGGTGTATTTTGCTTTTTCCCCCGGAGTATTAATGTTATTCAAAACTATCCGAAATTTGTACATAGTTGATTAAAGTTCATTCAGTTTTACTCAAAAAAGTCAAACTTGAGAAATACTCTGGGTCGGAATGAGTAGTATATATCTTTGCCCCGAAAGCAGGGGGTGAGGCCGCGAGGGTGTATTTGACCCAAAGAGGGTACCTGTATTTTCGTAGTTCATAGGCTTGCCCCAAATGTAGCTCCAGTTCGAATCAGTTTTATCAGATCCTTTCTGCCTCATCATCCTAGATTTTGCTTGTTCCTGCAACAAACAGATTTGTTTTCTGTTATGTCTTTCTTTGGAAAGAATTAAGAAGTCTCTCGTTGAGGGGAATAAAAATCACTTCATCGACAATATGTAAGTGGATTGTCTCTGAGTTTGTGGCACTCGGCATGCAATTATAAACTAGAAAAGATATGTCAATAAGATTGTACCAAGACTTTGACTTGTCTCTTTTCCCAACGTTTCCGAGCCTGCAGCATACAGACGCTCATTGTTAAGAATATTTGGATTTGGCATGGCATTCTATATATAATTTAAAAAAAAAAAAAGAACCCCATGGCGGGGCAATTTACAGGTAAATTCAATTTCTTGGAATGGGAAGGGAAAGAGAGAAAATACCATTCTGAAAACATCAATGGATTCATAGCCCATTCCTGCAAGCATTAAGCCTACCTGTTGGCAATGGAGAGACATTGTGAAAGCCATGAAGCGCATAGTTGTTTGATACCATACCAGAGAATATAGCTTACATTTACTCTTTCCACTCTTCTCATTTCATCTTCAAGCAAAGATAGTTGTGCAGCTGAAGTCCAATGGATACAATCAACTGGGCTGAAATCAAAAGATATAGTAATAACTTAGTGACTACATGATGTTTCAAGAGGGTCTGATTTCGAAAGTCAAATTTAATTATTAAGAACGTGGCCTGAAAACCCAAGCCACATATGATTTTATTCAATTGCTCTAAACAATATTGAAAATAAGTGGAAGCAAGCATATACAACTTCTAGAAGTTTGTTATTCGATTGATTGGCTAAAAATAAAAAGTTGTACTTTTTTATTGGGATGGTTTGTTCCGATGCTAAATTCCTGATTTGAAATCAAGAACTTCATGCAAATCATACCATTGCCCCACGGTGGTACTCGATATAATAATAACTCAAGGGGGCAAAGGGAACTTACCAACTATCTATAGCTTGTTGAATTAATTCACGACTTCCAGACTGACTGTAAGCTCTAGCTCTTCCAAAATCTTCCTCAATGCCAAACACCTTTGGACAAACATTGGCACAGTTCTTGCAACCTGTCAGAAAATTTACATGAGATGTTGACAAAGATATAGTGATATACTTTGTACTACTTATCTAAAAAAGATCGTTTGTTCAAACACAGAGTAGCTTAATAACCAAGGTAATGAAATGAAATAGAATGGAAGAACAAGAAAGATAAATACGGAGTAAAATCTATGAGCTCAAATTAGAAATCTATGAGGTGGATGCCATTTTACCAGCAATTTTATTTTTAATGTAGTATAGTAATATGAAATTTTATTTTACTGGCTTCAGTTTTTTTAGGGGTAAGATTACAATGTCCCCCCCCCCCCCGGGAACCCCCCAACAGTTGAGATTATGATAGAGTGCCATATGCAGTTATTTTATGTTATTAATATTTATGGTAGAGTCCCTTAGGATTATTGTTTAACGGGTCAAATGTTTTATTTTATATATGTCAGTTACTTAGTAAATAGTGTGTAAGTGGGCCTAAATTCTAGGAGTAGTTGCTAAGTAATGTGGTAGTGAACCTAAAGTTTAGGAATAGTTACTAAGTAGTGTGGTAGTGGGCCTAAATTATAGGGATTGGTAGTTATTTGGCTTCTATAAATATTGAGGTTCATTATTTGTAAAACTATCCAGAAAGTAATTCAATATTTATTATTGGAGATTCTCCTTGGCTTTATTATGTATATGAGTTTAAGATTCTTGCTCATATTTTGATAAAGATTTCCCTTCATCTTTATTATTTTATGAATTTAGATTCTGATTTCATAATTTGATAAAGACTATCCTTCATTTATTTTCCCCACCAATTTTGAGTTCTATCAGATTATATTAGGTTTGTTGTTGCTGCTGTAATTACCTTAAAAGGCATATTAAATAAACCATAAAAAAAACTAATTTAAGAAATATCAGCATAACTATAAGGTTATGCACTGAAGCTCATATACCTATGCAGCTAAATTCATCAACAAAAACATGATCTTTTGGGGAAGATTCATCCAAGAACGGATTAATTGCTGTGGCAGCATACCCATGAATCTCATCATACACTAGCCGTTGTGCAGGATCACTTAGAACCTGAATTGGTATGAATTGGTACGATAATCAGTTGCAGAGTACAGGAAAAAATACGAAAAAAAGAAACTGCAGTATCAGTGTAGACGAACATTTGGGAAAACCCACCTCATAAACTTCATTTACAAACATGCAAAAGTTTGTGGTCTCAGCATCATTGCCAGTCAAGTCTGGATGGCAAGCTTTCATGCAATTATAATAAGCTTTTTTTATTTCTTCAGTTGTAGCATCTGGAAGCTGTAAATACCAAGATAAAAACATTGTAAACAGGGGGGCTTCCAATATTGTAAGATATCCAAGCATGGTTAGCCATAGCTTTGTTTAAAATCCCAATATTAAGGTAAAGATTGACAGTTAACTACTTAACTTTCCTTGCATTATTACAGAACTTCAGGCCCAACTTACTGTTAGTTGTACTCCTTGCAAGTTAATTAAGTTCTAAGTTCTAACTTCTAACCTAATGAAATATAGCTCAAAAAACTTAACTAAAATAGACTAAAGATGCAAATAGAAAACTATTACTACTGACAAATAATAATAATAATAATAATTTACGGAGTAATATAAAAACCTAGACCCTTAACATGTACATTGTGTGTGTACTTTCTGGGTTAACACATTATTGGGCGCATTGGTCGCACACTTGAGCCCCATTAAGCACTTTTTTGTTTTGAAATTTCCGTTCAGTTTTTCTGTTTTTGTTAATGCACAACATCATGAGCATTTTTGGGATGAGGTACTCGCCCTCCACACACACTACTTCCGAGTGGGGCACTGGGTATGATTAGTTTGGGTTAAATATAATCTACATTAAAATCCAAAAACCATCATTATCTTTCTTTCTTTTATCATCAAACCTCTAGTAAATTAGTAACCCACACAATAAAGTGAGCTTTTTGAGGTTTAGACTTAATTTTTCTAGATTTCTGACTGGGATAGCATACTTGACAGCCAAATGACTTGTAACGCCATGTGCTAACAAACAAAATGTGATGTACGAGGACTATAAATCATTTTCTTCAGTGGCTAACATATGTTAAGCCTTACAAAATGCTAATGAACTAAAAATCGTGTATAAATAATAACGATATATTAAGCCTCTAATCACCAGTAGGCACTAAACTAACCCTTCCTTCTCTTCCATTACTGCAATACAACTTTTCTTCTTTCGGGACAAGCTTTTGCAAGTTCTAAACAAATTAAAAGAGCTACGGTAAAGTTATATTTACCTCATACTTAAATATTAGACTCAAACCTGTTATAATAATAAATTACTTCAACCCAAACAAGGTTGGAGAACCAAAAACATGGACAAATGGGCTGTTCAAATCCATGGGCAACCAACATACAAACAAATCAGAAGCAGATCTGGCTACAATACCATATTTAGTTTGGCCTAAATCACTCCAAATGGATTGCCAAGTGGTAGATTTAACCTCATACTTATTAGGCTCATACTTGGTAAGCACCCAATATGAGACACTTAACCTGCCATGTGAAAATTGTACCTTTTTGTTTTGCACCTCTATCACCTAAACATAATGCTTCAACTTTATAAAGCATGTGATCAATGTGACTATGTCAAATCATCCTGATAGAATATTCATATACATAGTCATCCCAAAAGACTAGTATGCCACTTGATAGAGCTTATATGGTCTATACACCCTAATTTGTCCACACGACCAATGTGGGACAAGTCTCATACCTTACTATTAAAATTCCGGTGGGTCGAGAACAACGGGCAGAGTGTCGGATAAAATTAACCACTTGCATATAAAGTCGGGATCAACTTTCTAACCCAAAAGATTAAGTTGATAGGTAGAGCTTCACCCTTCTATATATGCTAGTGGGAACTCCAACACTCTCCCTCAAGTGGTAACTAGCATGTCCTAGTTAGTACATGGACAAACGGGTCTAGCATCTCAATCTCTTAAAGCTAGTCCACACAACGGGTGGTGGCATCTCACTCTCTAATAGCCAACTCGACCCAAACCACATACGGGTAGCTCATATCACTAAACTCACGTCCAAAAAACCAGGAAAAATCGAACCCAAACCGGACTAAGGAACCAACTCAACCAAAAGTTCAAACTTCTGGTTGTGACCCAGGAATGATTTTTTATATTCTAACACGCTCCCTCACGTGCAGGCGTAATCTTCTTAAGACTTGCACATCAAACATTAATTTTTCTAAAATTGGGTGACGTTGAGTCCTTAAATTTGTTTCAATCCATAACATTTGGCTCTCATTGAAGGCTAATTCATGTAATCTTTGGTTATGGCTACATAGGTGATTGAACAGCCAATTCGCCACTTCGTGAGCCATTACTCCGAGTTGGCTGTGATACGGTGATACTATAGACCAAATAGAAGAGCTCATACCAAAAGATTAGCATGTCCAGTGAGAGAGTACATTTGGTCTATAAACCCCTCATTTGTGGCGCACACAACAGATGTGTGACAAAATCTCATACCTTGCAACAGGATTTAGTCAAAATCATAACTTCCATTTCTATGAATTCTCAAACCCCTGGAATTGTGTGGATTCTAGTCATTCCACATGTGTTATGACCTAACTCCACCCAGTCATTCACTTATTCAACTACTAGTAATTTCAATCCCCATCCCATGCCAACCAAAAAGAGCCCTAATATTTATGGAAAGAAAGATTGAAGGGTGAAACTTTTAATACATCTCTGTCCACTTGCTCTATGTTTGGCTCAAGGATTTTGGAAGGAAAAGAAAAGAAAATAGTTTTCTCTCATTTTCCTCACCAACATGGAAGGAATTTGATTTTCCCTCCACTTGGTACATTTAGCCTCCTCATTTTCTTTTCCTTCCACTTTTCCTTGCTTTTCCCCTCTAACCAAACAAGAAAAATGGTTTTCCACGTCATTTTCTTTTCTTTTCCCTTTCAAATTCCTTGAACCAAACATAGTGTTGGGGTTTTCCAACTTGATCGGGCACAAAGATTAAAACAATCAACATTATAAACCTAATCTTAAATATCATGGCAAATTAGAAATTCTAGTGGAACCCCAGGAATATAGTTTAATTACCAGGCCCAGAACAGCATAGTAATCATCAGAAACATCTTCAGCGGAAGCTGCAGCTGCTGCAGAGTCCTGATAAGCAACTCTGATTCTGCCAAAACCTCTCAGCCGTTCACCATGGGAGCTCGCACAGGTACTGTTATTATTGCTCAAAAAACGCTGCTTTTTTCTAGGTAAAAATTTGTGTGCGTGGCTGTGAAATTTGATGGTATCCCCACAAACTGGGGAAAGTAACTGAGCCATTTCACCTCTACAGCTGCTAGTTCCAAAGAATCAAGAAACGAATTGAGGAGTGAATATGAGAGTCGGGAGATTATTTCTTTTCTAAGCGAAAATATAGAAATTAGAAATTTATGAAGGAAAGAGGTGGAAAAAAGAAAGAGCTGCTGTGCTGAGATGGGAACCAGACAACCAGTTGCTTCTCAAGAATCTGGAAATGTCGAAGCACTCCAATGCACCTTGAGAGAGTTATGCTAGGGAGGATCTCATTAGTCATTAGTAAACCAATAATTCTTGTCATACATTATTTATTCCAAAAAAAAATTATGGGCTCTAGATTTTTTGTTAATAAACTCACTAAGTTTTACATTATTTTAGATATATTAGTAAGTAATTTCATGTCTCATATTATTGAAAATATATGCTGAGATTTCTTAAAATTTATAGTAATATATTTCAATGGTACATTTTGTCAATTTATTAGTTGTTATGATTGAAAATTCTGTTACTTTGATAAATATTAAATTTTATATTGATAATCATTACTCTCTCCGTCCTAAAACTTTTTTCCCAGAGCACTATTCCAACTTCACGTGGAATTTATATTTATTTGTGTTTTTTCATGGCCTATATGATAAAATAAAATATTCTTGTCACCACTTGTTTTGTTGAACTTTTGATGTAGTTTTTAAATATGTATGTTTTTTTTTGTTTCTATACCAATATTTAAATAAAATAGATTGAAAAAATTTGGGATTTTTCTTCGTTTTGCGCAACGGGAAGAAAGATATAGGACGGAGAGAGTATTTCATTAAATTTAAATAAAAATTTTCAATTTGTCAAAGTAAGAACTACTACTCTGACGCCTAAATTGAGAGAATGTACCCTCCGAGTATAATATCACATATTTTAAAAATACTAAAGTATATTTCAGATATGTGGGATCTGAGAGTTCTTACTAGAAAATGAAAGATATCTATGAGTATATTTAAGATAATGTGAGACTTGAGAGTTATTGCCAAAAAATTGAGGGTACCCCAAAGTAATTTTTGTTATTTATTCACTCATGATTTTTTTATTAGTCACCCGTTAATTTTTTTTCCATGCTAGAATTGTGTAGTTGCGATATAATTGAGATACAGTTTTTAATGTACCCCTATAAGGCCTTGGGGTGTGCCTTTCTCTTTTCTCTTTCACCACAGCGTCACGTCAGATTTAGCTTTCCTTTCTCCTTTTAGAAAAATATATTCCCTTTTTCCCCTTCAATTTTTAATAGTTTTAGCACTTATTTTAATTTAAATAATTAAACTAAAATTGTTTGTGATTATTTACAGAGGGTTTTACTCTTCCTCTTTTTTTGTAGTTAGGAAGTGAGCGAGTCAAGTGGTTTATGATTATAAACTTTGACCTTACCTCAGAATGAACACTACGTTGTTTGAGAATAAATACTAAACTGAACAGACTTGGAATTAATACTACATTGTTTCAAAATGAATACTACATTATTCGTAAATGGATATTATAATTGTAGTGAGTAGTTGTGTGAAATAAACACTACATTGCTTCAAAATTAACACTACATTAATTAAAAATGAACACTCAGATGTATAATATTGGCTCTCTATTTGAGGACTTATTAGTAATAACCCAATCTTGAAAAAGGATGAGTCCGTTCCACGAGACTCCTCTCAATCTCGATCAGACGATCACTAAAAGGTGAAAAATAAGGCTTTGACAGTAAATTAGTTTAAAAAAGTGGAGCTTGCACTTATCATCTATTAACATAAGAGATGTCCCGCTAGACTTATGTTTAATATAGTTGTCCCATTTATTTCAAGTCTTCTCCCAATATATGCATAAAATTAAAAATACATTTCCATAATCTCATGTGTATATCTCGGTCTGACCTATCTAACATATCTAATTTTCTTGCAAGACGGAATTGGTAGTTCCGTTTTGCAGTTTGACATGACTGACCACTGTATTTTGAATTTAATATGGGTAAAGTATTGATATTTTATTTAAAAGGCTAAAATGGAACTGCTACTGCTGTTTTGGTACACAATAATTTTTTTATAAACATTACTTCCTCTTACCTAAAATGGTATGCACTTTGCGGAAATAAAACACAATATTTTATCCCTCCAATATATTTTATTTCAAAGATATAATAAAAAGAACAAATAAAACCTACATATTAGATCTTTTGAGATTGATGAGAGTGACAAGTTTGAACTAAAGTTGAACCGTACACAAAGGAAAATGACAAAAAATAAATTCAAACAACATATTACAAAATATGAGATAGGTATTACACGATTATAGAAAAATAAGAGAAAAGAACTAATTGTTCAAATTAGTTATTGCTACGTCGATGTGGTCGCATATCCATGTTATTGGTGAAATGCGTGCTTATCGAATGGTCGATATGTGAACGTTGTCCTCTTGCCGGTTGACTAGTTCATATCCAGGATGTGGCCATTCTATTTCTGGTGGAAGTGGCATTAGATTTCCAAAATACACATTTATACATGATTGAATTGAGAAGTTAGATATAATGAATTGATCCACCATCATTCGATTGCAGTGCCATATTGCAAATATATGTTCACATAACATGTCGAACTGTTAGCATATATATTTATTTACTACCATATATGTAATTAGTTTCCTTGTTAGTAGTTTCCTTGTTAGTAGTCCTTTCCATACTTGGAGTAGGACTTGGCACATGTATATATACGTTGTGAATATTGAATGAAAGGCAGTTCAGTTTTTCCAAAATTCTACATGGTATCAGAGCCAATTTCCCGGGAACTTCTCAAACCGTAGTTTTTTTTCTCACGCACGGTGCCACCACCGTTGCTTCGCCGGGCCGCCACACCACGGTCGCCCCTCTTCGATCGGCTCACGTCGATCACCACCGCTGCAGCGCCGGCTCACGTCGGACTCATAATCACCGTCTCACGCCGGTACTATCTTCGTTTCCATGGCAAGCGAAGGAACAAAGAAGGTCAGGCTCATCTACGACCCTACCTCTCCGTACTACATCCACCCGTCCAAAAGTGCGGGTAATTCCTTGACGAAGCATCTTCTCAAAGGTGATAATTATGATATTTGGGAGAAAACAATTATTAACGCTCAAGAAGGGCGTAGCAGAGCAGGTTTTCTCAATCCTTCCGGGTTTCCTAAACCCACTGATGAACAGGAATTGGCGGCATGGAAAGCTAATAATTCCATAATTTGTTCTTGGATCTGTAACAGTGTTGATGAACACATCCAACCTTCCATTATCTCCCATAAAATTGCTCATGAATTATGGTTAGATCTGAAGACCAGATATGGAGGTTCCAATGGACCTCGTATTCACCAATTGAAATCTGAGTTTCAATCTTTGCGTCAAAAGGGACAAACTGTGGTTGTCTATTATAACCAATTTGTGACTTTGTGGAATAAGCTATATGGATCTGTTGATCCAACGTGTGGTTGCCGGTGTGAGGCTGCGGCTTTGATTCGGGCGCGCGAGGAACANAGAGCAGGTTTTCTCAATCCTTCCGGGTTTCCTAAACCCACTGATGAACAGGAATTGGCGGCATGGAAAGCTAATAATTCCATAATTTGTTCTTGGATCTGTAACAGTGTTGATGAACACATCCAACCTTCCATTATCTCCCATAAAATTGCTCATGAATTATGGTTAGATCTGAAGACCAGATATGGAGGTTCCAATGGACCTCGTATTCACCAATTGAAATCTGAGTTTCAATCTTTGCGTCAAAAGGGACAAACTGTGGTTGTCTATTATAACCAATTTGTGACTTTGTGGAATAAGCTATATGGATCTGTTGATCCAACGTGTGGTTGCCGGTGTGAGGCTGCGGCTTTGATTCGGGCGCGCGAGGAACAAGAGAAGACTCATCACTTTTTGCTCGGGCTCGACGACGAACAGTTCGGTCACATCCGATCTCAGATTATTGCCACTGAACCTGTTCCGGACATACACCGGGCTTATGCACTCATCGTTCAAGAGGAACGCCACAAGAGCATTGTTCGTGGCCGAGATGACCGTACGGACGCTATCGCCTTTGCCATGCAGCGTCCCGCTCCTACCTTGGGTCGTGGAGACCCCCCCCATTATTCGTGCACACATTGTGGAAAAGACGGCCATTCCGTGGATCGGTGCTATCAATTGCATGGGTATCCACCCGGGAAGGGCCGTGGAGGTCGCGGCACTGCATCCGGCCGAGGGGGTCGCGGCGGTGGCAGAACGCCGTCCGGCGGCAGTAGTGCCCCTGGCCGTGGGTCTGGCCGAGGGATAGGATCAGCGACAGGGGGAGCAAATGCAGCCACCAATTCCAACGCCCTATGCCTCACACCTGATCAGATGACTCGGTTACTTTCCATGCTCGACGTCTCTTCTTCCGACAAGGATACTGGGTCTAATGGTGAGGCATCGGCTCGTGAGTGGCTTATTGACAGTGGTGCCTCTCATCACATGACTGGTAATATCTCCTTTTTAACTGATGTGGTTCCCATGGCCCCCTGTGTCATCACGTTGCCTAATGGTACACAGACTACAGCCACTCGATGTGGCCGTGTGCGGCTCTCACCCGAAGTAGTGCTTCGGGGCGTTTTGCTTGTTCCTCATCTGCAGTGCAATCTTATTTCTGTTGGTTGTCTCATTCGAGATACCTCTTGTCTTGTTATTTTTAACAAAAACTGTTGAGTCATACAGGATTGTGTCACGAAGATGGAGATTGGACGGGGTGATGCACACAATGGAGTTTTCCTGTTTCGTCCATGCTCTACAGCATTTGCTACCCAAGTGGATCCTTCTCTCCTTCATAAACGCTTGGGGCATCCATCTGTTCAAGTTTTGTCGTCTCTTATTCCTTCTGCCAGTAGCTCTAAACTTAAATTATTACAATCATGTGAAATTTGTTTCCAATCCAAACAAGTTCGTAGTTCTTTTCCTATTAGTTCCAATAAAGCTACAAGTGTTTTTGATCTAATTCATTGTGATTTATGGGGTCCCTACACCCCTTGTTTAGCTACTGGTGCACACTA